CTCTCTCTCTCTCTCTCTCTCTCTCTCTCTCTCTCTCTCTCTCTCTCTCTCTCTCTCTCTCTCTCTCTCTCTCTCTCTCTCTCTCTCTTGTGTCCCTCTGTTTTGTGCCATCTTGTCGTGTCATGCAAGAAAGACGCAGTGGAATATGTAGCGGGTATATCCGACTTAAACTGCAAAGAGTTTAGAAAACCGTGGTCTTGTGTGAATCTACTCTCTCCAGTTTGCCTGTCTTTTAGATGTGTACCTGGAAGTGGAATAATATGTAGCCGGTGTATCCGGCACTGACTGCAAATGAGTACCTACACATACGTATATGGGGAGATGAGTTATGAAATCTTTCTCTCTATCTCTCGTTTGTGTCGTGTCGTATATGAAAGCGGAAGTCCATATGTAGCTAATGTATCCGTCATGAATTGCAAGAGCTTAAATTAGAGAAATGTGCTTTTGACATACATGAAAGAACATTTCTCTCTCGAAGAATCTGACGGATACATCCATATGGATATGGATGTATCCGTCACAAAATACAATAGAGAGAGAGAGAGATGAAAGAGTATACGCACAGGTAACGACGCATGGCCCAATCGTCACAATGGGATCATCTTCGTGTACCTTCTATCTCTGCGTATATTAGCCTTTTGCCATCATATTCAACCCAACAAAACCATCGATGCCAACCCATAACGGCCTTCGATGCCTTAGTTCCTATATGGCTCTTCAATGTGGGGCGGATATGTCAGGCCTGCATCCAAAACCAAATACGTTTCTACTTCGGATACATCCTTCTATGTGGTATGTTGGAAGTCATTAACGATATACTGAGGGTTATATTTCACTGCTTAATGAATTGGTTTCTAAATAGTACACAGAATAATGTATTGTCTTAACGACTAACATGTTCTACACTACTCTTCTCTACTATACTACACTCTACTCTACTCTATGACACTACTCTACGACACTTTACGACACTCCACCACACTCTACGACACTCGACGACACTCTACGACACTCTACAACGCTCTACGACGCTCTACGACGCTCTACGACGCTCTACTCTATGTCTACTCTACTACACAATACGACAATTTATGACACTCTACTCTACTTTGCTCAACTCTGCGACACTTTGTGACACTGTACTCTACAGTATTGTACTCTACTATACTTTGCTCTACTCTACGACACTTTATGACGTTGTACTCGACTGTATTCTACTTTACTCTACGACACTCTACTTTACTCTACTCTACTCTACTCTACTCTACTCTACTCTACTCTACTCTACTCTACTCTACTCTACTCTACTCTACTTTACGATACTTCACGACACTCTACTCGACTCCACAACATTCGTACTCTACTCTACTCTACTTTACTCTACTCTACTCGACTCGACTCTACGCTACGCTACTCCACTACACTCTACGATACTTCACAACACTCTACTCGACTCCATAGCATTCTATTGTACTCTACGATACTTCACGACACTCTACTCGACTCCACAACATTCTACTCTACGATACTTCACGACACTCTACTCGACTCCACAACATTCTACTC